TAATGTAAAAAAAAAAAAAAAAAAAAAAAAGAAAATAGGAGCATTGTAAAGTACTCTTAACTTTTGTTCCAAGTTGAAGAAGAAACGTTTGTCTGATGTCTGTGTTTAATGCTTAACCTGTTGGCAGATTCATTATCTAGAGTAAGATCTCCTCATCAGGCAATTTGTTTCTCCCCACTAGTGAGGACAGTTACATCGTGACAGACTACGCCCTGAGGCATCAGATCCAGGTGGGAAACAGTAAGCCGGAGGATGTCAACCTTTCCCCGTTGAAAAGTCCCACCAGCATGCTGGTCTCACGTCAGGCCAACGCAAACTATCTCTTCCGGCTGAGTTTCCATAGCAACCACTCCCGTGAAAAGGTGGTGAGGATCCTTGGAACAGAGTTACAGTAAGTGCCTTGTTTTATTGAATTGAATTAAGCTCTTGGTTTCCCTCACATTTTACATTGGAAATTACAACTCATGCATCCCTTGTGGAAACAAATGTAGGAAGATGTCTCTTCTGTGACTGGACTGGAATTATATGCATTGTAGTTAATGAACTAAAACTGTAAAAAAAAATCACTGAAGCATAAAATTGTTTTTCATGTTATTTAGTCTTAAGTGAGCAGTTCCTTTTTAAAGGAGCAATATGTGCAGCCAAAATCCTGCAGGAGAAGTAAACACTGTCTGAAGTCTGTAAGCTGTTGTAGTTAAATGACCTTTTAGTAACATCATCTCTTCTCATGCAGCAATTAGACTATAAAGTGAGGATGTTCAGATTACATAACCCAAACAAAGGAAGGGGAACTGCTATACATCAGCCTTCTTATTCATTAACATGCATGGATACACAAACACACAAAGCGCTATACACTATAATCATCTGCTGTGTTTCATAGCTTCGTTAAAGGAGTTTATTACAGACAGAAGGCCTGTTTCTTCTGCTTCTTATGCAGTGGCAGATCTAGTTATTTTGGGGCCGCAGGCAAACTAAGCACCTTCCTCCAAGTCTGCTTGTAGTCGCAGTAGGCCCTGGATGTGACATATTTTGCTGGGCTCATGCCGAGTGTTCATACTGCAATACTGTGACTAGGCAGTAGGGCAACATTTAACTGTAGTCCCTCCCCTGGCCTGAGGCCGGGCCTGCAGCGATCCTGCTGCCCGGTATCCCTCTATTTCCTGTCTTTGGCAAAGAAATTATTCACAGTACACACTTTACTTTAAACTATTGTTAATCAAATAACAAAAGTAGAAGGATTTTACATGTTGGAATTTTTTTAAGTAGTTAAGGATGAAGAGTTTACGTTTGGGAAAAAAATTGTGAAGGAGATAATGAAGTGTTTGGGATATTTAGAAAAGCCTAGACTACAAATTTGCACATTGTAATAAAAATAAGTTATTATTAAAATCAGATCATCAGAAATTAGTATGAAGTTGATCTTTTAAATGTTAGTCAAAGTAAGGTCTAGTAATATCTTAAAAGACATTTGTCAATTTCTTTTGTTGCCTTACTACATCTTACAGCTTAGTTAGTTCTCCAGTTTAAGTGGAGCTCAAACAGCCCTAAAGTTGCTCTCTGGGTTACATGACTCATTTAGCGATGGTTTCAACCCTGGACGCCCAAGTACATAAAATACTGTAAATAAAACCATGTGCATGTCTTACTTTGAGTCCAACTGTGTCTTTGGTTAATTAGTTTATTTTAAAGAAGTTCACACATTACATTACGATTACGTTTCACATAAAAGTTAAGCAGCAAACAAATGAAAAGTACATTTGTGATTAATTGTTATGGTTTATTTCTTTTTAATAATGCAACTATAAACAAGTCAGAGTTAATTGTTCCTATTCAGTATGAAAAATATGGAAGAGAAGAGGGTTACTGTTGAACTTACTGCTATTTCTTACTGGCACCAGTAGATTTGTTACATTTCACTAGTTTATTGTGCAACACATTTTTTGTCTACATGTATGTATACATGTAGACTTCTATCCTTTGCCTATAAGTCCACTCTTGCTCTTATGTAGCTGGAAAACCTGTACTGATTACACAAGCTGTGATTTTCTGCTATAGAACTGAAACATGTGAGTAAAAATGATGGTACAAAACTCTAAATTCTTTCTAATTATTTATTTTAAATGAATGTGAGAGAAAGCAGAAGCATGCACAGTGGAGAAACTTGCAAACTATATGCTGAAAAGATCCCAGGGTCTCTTTCTGTCAGGCAGTACTGCCACCGTGCAGCCCCTTACTACTATTATTATTATTATTATTATTATTATTATTATTATTATTATTATTATTATTATTATTATTATTGACAATGTAGAATGAACTAGTCAGGAGGAAAATGAGTTATTGTTTTAAATCACTTAATCTTCACTCCGTACATTTTTCTCTTTTAAATATTAGAGGAGAATACATTTGACTCCAAAGAAAATATGAAACTAGACAGGTACTGGTTCATGTCGTTGACATCACCTAAATGTAATCTTCTTTCTCAACCGTCCTTTCTGCTGCCTGAGTTGTTGTGGAAAACCCCGAGACCCCCCTCCTTTGGGGGTGCTTGGAACATGCAGCTAAAGATGTGTGTGTCGCTTTACTCACTAAAATACTGAATGAGCAGAGAAGAATCAGTGGGGAGACCCTGGCAGCTGTCCAGAGTTATAGTGGCACTAGGCTTTGTTTTAAGCAGTTGTTTAGCAACAGACTGCAGCTAAACTGGCCGTTTCCCACGACTGTGCCCCCACCTACTCTGTGCTGTTTTACTTCTCCTGATCCTTCGACACATTGACCAGAGTGTCTGTGCCTCTTCTTCCAAAAAGAAGACTATGTGAGCCTGTTTGTTTTTAAAGACTCTGTGGTTATCCAAGTTTAGTAAAAATTGCACAACAGGAAGTCTTGTCTCAGCAGACTGTTGGGGAGTTATAATAATAATAAAGCAGACTAGATAATTAAACTTTGAACACAATGTTAAAATATATTATTTCTTCTAGAAATAGATAATAGGTTTTATGTGAAAATCAAAGCTTTTCTGTTGGAATTTGGATACTAATCAAGGCCCATACTGAACACTGCCATCCCTCCTTTCCTTTTTTCTTGAATCAAGAGAGATTTTCTCCCAAATGGGGTTTCTGCAGGACAGCATCTGCTCTAACATCTGTTTAAAATCTCCCTACAGTATCTATAGTTCCTGTTACAGATGTTTCATTCCAAGTGATATATATTGAGATCTTAGGCTAGTGCTAAAAGGTTTTTAATGTGTTTGGATAAAATTAGTTTGTATTTTTCTAATCTTCCATCTATTTTCTTTTCACTGACAAAAAGAATCACATGATTTAATACCAATTATGTGTGTATTATAAACCATGTTCAATGAAATTCTGTTGGACAACTTTTTGTAACTTTTCTGGCATTTTTTTTGTCAGATCTGCAGCACAGACAAAACATAATTCTGTTAAGCTGCAAAATATTAATGGAAATTTAGGTTTAAATTTGAGATGCACCAATCCGTTCCCCAGGTCAGATATCAGCTTCAGTTATAGTGATCTACAGTGTGTGTTGGACAATTGCCATATTTCTACTTATATTACATTTTAAATTATGTAATTCCAGGGAACCCTATATGGAAGTGTTATTGAATTTTTCTACTAATGAACACAATACAGTGTCAATTTTTCACTTTTTTTTTAATGTTAAGGTCAAGCCTGATTGCTTCACACACAGGCAGATATAATGTTCATTCATTCAGCAATAGTATCAGATCAGTATCGGCTGATACACTCAGCCCAGGTATCGCTATCAAACTAGACCAGAAAAAAGTGGATCTACATATGTGAATCTCTAGTTTAAAGTAATTCTATCAATTTTACCAGCATTTGTCTTCTGATACGGAATAAAATGAATGTATTGAATGGCCAAGACATAGTTCTGGACAGATTTGACGGTTGCAGAGGCTACAGTATGTGTCAGAAGCATAAATTGGCCTTTAGCTTGTTTAATTTATTTTCTTATCAGTATATCTTAAATTTCAGCCCAATTTAAAAGAAATTGGATACATAAGAATTCTGAGGTTATTTCATTAGATTTGGATGCTGTAAAAAAAAAAAATATTCAAATTTAGCAGTTTACAGCAAAAGGGATTAGAAAATCATTGGGTCCCTATCAGATCCATGTATTTGACCAATTGAAACAGATTATTGATATATTTGTAGAAAAAGTAGAATGTAGAAATGATTTTCTTAATTTAACGAGGTAAAGAATTTAGTTGAGATTAAAATCTCTTTCAAGAGTGACCTGGCCTAGAGGGCACTACAGATACAATCTATCTATTGGTATATAATCTTACACCGAAATGTATGGTGAACAGGTAAATATGTAATTGCACAGTAAAGAGAGCTATTTAGAAAAATTTAATTAATTAACATCTAAAGCAAATATTTGATCTTCACTGACTATTGGAGTTTTGAAAAGTGGGTTTAACTGCAGCACTGCGATAAAGGTTAAAGGGCAAAGATCACAGAATTGAATGTCTGTGCAGGATTTCTCTTTCAGAGGGCAAAGACCTTGGTGTCCAGTTGCTTGTAAAAGAAATTATACTTACCTTAACATTTGTATATCCATGTTTCCTTTCACCAATTATTTTAAGTTTGGCAAACGTTAAGAGTTCCAGGGTGAAATTCTTCACATTCTGCCTTTAGGCGAGTCTGTTTTTCTTCTGGAAATGAAGCTGTTGAATTAAAGTTTGTTATTTTTTAACTGATGTTTTCTTTTCTTTTGTTTCCAGTCCCTAATGTTAAGCTTGTCGTCGTACCTATGTCTGTGAATCCCTGTTTAGCGTCTCAGAAGCAGATATATGTTAGGGTGATATTTAATCTTAATGTTTCTATAATGCACCAGGAATTCCAGCTGTTTGGAGACGCTTCAGAGGGCTCTGTGTGAACTTCTACTCCCCCCCACCCACCCTTTTGTGTTCTTTCTTGTCTGGATGTCCTTCTGTCCTGTGTTTGCATGCTAGGATGCTTTCCCCGTGACCTTGTTTCCTCGCCCAGTGTTCAAAATCAGTGAATAGTGCTCATCTATTAGTGGAACAGAGCTGCTACAGAAGTCTGCAGAAAAACAGAGCTGTTAGTCAGACATTCAGCTGTAACAGAAAGCAGTGCATGTTATATAACAGTTCTGACCAGAGAGCAGTGTCTGTGCTTCTGTTTTACACGTCTGTTTTTTTCTCCCTCTGTCTGCTTTCGTTTATGTGATAATGCAAAAGTTGTTGATGGGAATTGTTTCTTCTGGCTGGGAGTTTCCCAGCCTGTAGAAATCAGCCAAGTATTTGTCTGAGGAGTAAATGAATATGTAAATGTATCAATAACCAAACATGTTATTATATCAAACAAACATAATGTGAATTAATGCAAATTACAGTTTTTATAGTGAATGGAAGTTATTAAAGGAAAACAGCTGTCCAAACCGTTTTAGCTGTATATGGTTAAGTAATCCCAAACATCACATCACCTTGTTCAATGTATTGGTGTACGTGTAGTTTTCCCTTCTTTTAAGGTATTTTCTATAGTATGTGTAAAAAGAAGTAAAAACAGAAGTCTGGTTTTTGGCTGGAGGACTGGAGGTTTCAGACAGATAACTGGTTGCTCTGATTTGCCATTAGGGATTTGTGCGTTCGTTCATGGCGGCTTTTTCCTGGACGGTGTGGCAGCTTTTTTAGGGTTTACCTCAACTTGCCCAATGATTTCCCAGTCTCTTAAAGTAGAGCCATGATTAAACCATGAACAAACTGAAGCCAATGACAGCTGGAAACGGTTGAATTACCTTTGATTGAGGCATCACATGTTGCTCTTAGAGACCTTTAAGCCTACCTTATGCTGTCTAACAGGTTTTATTTGAGTGGTTTCTGATTCTAAAGGTGTGGCAGTAATTACAACCTGAGTATTGCAGGTTGAATAGCAACCAAAATGTTTTTAATAACTCTTAAATCCTTTTTTAAAAGGAGGATGATGGAACGGTTACCACTTAGATTAAAATAATGTTTCCCTACTTCATAATTTAAATCCGTATTTCTTTTGGTGTTTTTCTCCAGTTATAGTTTTATATTCAAATTGATTGATATGACACATTAAGATTTAAAAAAAAAAAGTGGAAACAGATTCAATTTGTTGGATCAAATCCTCTTTGCACTGTGTGGAAGGGTGAAACAACAGAGGCATTTGGCTCAGGCAAAAACTGATTGAATGAAAAGTTTGTCATGAGAAGAAGCAGCAATGAAAACCCAAAGCTCTGTGTTGTGATATTTATTGTCATCAGACAAAGAGTGGAAGGCCAGAAGAAGACTATCATCACTCCTTAGCCTTTTTGTGTGAAAGAGGTTTCACAGTTCACCAGTGATACTCCTCTTTTCAGAGGTGAAACATGAACCCTTTACACTGGATTTCTGAAACCTAGCATTCCTTTCTAGTGCAGGATGAATAGTCAAAGCCGGAGGAAGTCTTAATACAATGAATGCACCAAGTCTGTAAAGGCTTTCAGTCAATGAGAGAGAAAGAGGGACCATCATCTACTGCCTATGCACTAGTGTTGGGTCCCGCACATACGTCGAGTATATAGAGCAGAACTGTTTCGGTGTGCGTCTCATTTCAATAAAGTCACCTGGCCATTAAAAGAATTGACTTCAACACTAAATTGTGTTCATAAGCTCATCTGTCAACGGGATGCAACTTCCAAAAAAAAAAAGAATCTGAGCTTTTGAGGTTTCTCGTTGTGGTGTATTAATGATGAGACGCTTTGCACGCATTTAACCACATTTACTTAGGTAATCGAAAAACATTATTACAGCATGCCAGCTGTGGCTCCAGTTTGGCACATCCCTCTAGATCTGTCCATATCACATGGAACACAGGAAAAACTACGGAGATCCCATAAGCTCAATATACCACAATCATCAGAATGATCAGGAAATATGGAGCAGCTTTGAGGCAAAAAAGGTTTCAGCCATTTGGGACCATTTTTAGGTTACTGCTTTTACTGTACTTATTGTTTTAAATATATATACAGAGATGGGAAGTAACGAAGTACAAATACTTCGTTACTGTACTCAAGTAGATTTTTCTGATATTTTTACTTTACTTTACTACTTATTTTTATGGCGACTTTTTACTTCTACTCCTTACATTTTTACACAAATATCTGTACTTTCTACTCCTTACATTTTAAAAAATTGGTTCGTTACTTTAGTTTTTAATAATTTTAATGGAGTTACCGTTATTATTTTTCACGTCATCAATACCAAATTCAATCTTATTGGATGGGAATCTATGTTTCATTTGACGCACCACTATAAGATGAATCGACAGATTCGGCGGTATTCATTCGCGGCAAATCATTGCAGCTTGGTGGCGGTGGCGTTAGCATAGTAGTATGGACGACGAGATGATTGAAATTGAACACAACGGAGATCTAGTCCTATTGGCACACATCCATTTAAAATGTAGGCAACGGCATGAAAAAAGTGGTTTCTACTTTTTACTTTTGTACTTTAAGTAAATTTACAAGCCTGTACTTTGTTACTTTTACTTGAGTAAAGAAGTTTAATCAGTACTTCCACTTTTACCAGAGTATTTTTTAACACAAGTATCTGTACTTTTACTCAAGTACGGAAAGTGAGTACTTTTGCCATCTCTGTATATATATATATATATATATATATATATATATATATATATATATATATATATATATATATATATATATATATATATATATATATATATATAATCCTGGTCACAAGCATCTTTATTCAAATGTTCACTTAAAGAAGTTTTTATGAATTTTTAAAGACCCGCCCTCTGCACTTTAAAAAAAAAAATGCACATGCACAACCCTGAGCCCCCTCCAGATAGGGAACGCCTATTAAATGCGTGCAAGAGCGTGCACAACCCCATCTCTCCTTGTGCACGCCCTGTTTAAAAGTTGCTATTCTCATAGCTCATACAAGCTAAATGTGCCCAAATGTCCACCCTAACCCCTAAATCCCTCAATCAATATACAAAACGGGGATGATATAGTGGACTTTATAGTGAACTCATTTAACTTACCTTTCGGACAGATGATCACTACTTTTTACCCCCCGTTGATCAAGTTACTCCTCCTTCATCATGCGGTGCCTGCGCCATCTTTATTAGTCGCGCCGATGTGACAGCAAATCTCATTCTGGGATATATCTGTCTCTTCTGATGCCTTTCTTTTCTTCTCATACACTTTGTAGACACTTTTTGTCTTACGACCTTCGGCCATTTTCAAAGAGCAGTGATGAGAAAAGCTTCATTGACTGAAATCGCAGCTCACCACACATATACACCTGAAAGTGCACATGCACAGAAAAAGATAGCTAACTGGGATCGAGCACATGGGAAGGCCTTACGTATCACCAGAATAATTTACAATTAGGAGGACCACTTAATTAAATGATCCACCAGGAAAAAGAAAATCCTCCACTACCTTTAAATGTGACCGTGTGAATGCAGTATCAAAACAGTTTGGCAGTGTGTCAAAACACGATTTATCAACTCATCACTACCATGCAGTCTAAATACATCTCACAAACATGTTCTCTGTTGATAAATGTGCTCACATGTGTTGGTTATTTCAGCTGTTTTCGAGAGGGATCACCCTGCCATGACTTATTTTACACATGCATACATCCAACTGTTGGCATGCAGGCCCAGCTGTTAAGTAAAACAAACAGCTGTCTTAGCCAAGGAGGAGCTCTGAATGTGACTTTATAAAAAGGCAGGCACAATGGTTTCTATGAGACTCGCTAAGAAACAGGTGCTATTCTGCTTGTGACAGCTTTGATGTTATTTTATTTAAAGGGATATTTTTGAATTTGGGGATTATTCTGTGCAGTTATTTCCAGTAACCCGCCTCCTTACTTGTAGGAGATGGATGTCGAATTGCAGAGAAAAGTAAACATTTGTTCAGAATGGTTGAAGGATAACAGCTAATCAGCTAATTTAGCATAAACTGAAATAACTCAAACTGAAAACAGATATTATACGGGTTCATAGAAAACAATAAGTTGCCCATCGGCCTAGCAACAGTGTGTGATTGACGCTCTGTCTTAACATTTTCTCTGGCTTCTCATTAACAAAATGACGGCAAACAGCAACACTATGAATGGTTTCAGCTGTTTAAAACTAACATTTGAACTCTGTTTACCTCGGTCACAGGTCAGTTTTAGATAAATTCTCCATTTATCAGTTTCTGACCTAATTACTTGTTCACACTTCCAAAGCAAACACAAGCAAGACATATTGTAATAGAACATATACCGTGGATAAAAATAGAGGGAATTGTATTTTATCATCATTGAAATATTATTATAATAAATACAAATTTTCCTCTGGACTTAATATGAAAGTGCTCTCTTAGTGAACGGTGCGACAATATATATTCTTATGGGGCATTTCAACTCCAAAGGTTGCACTGTGCTGTTAGGATTATTGCTGTGTGGGCTGATTTTCAGCCAGGGCAAATGAGGCCATATAAGGTGCAGTGCTGATAAAAGATTTTTTTTTTCCATTGTTGGCAGTAAAGCATTACATGCTGCTGTACTTTTACGCCTGTGTGGCTTAAAAAGTATCACACAATAGGAATGTAATAATGAGGTGTGACTCACTGCTACCGTCCACTAGTGTCCATTTGAGGCGCCTGAGTGACAAGCTGCCTCCTTTGTACGGTTGTCCCAGTTTACAGGCCACTAATGCTGAGTCAATGAGGGCCCCCATAGACCTCCTGCTTCATTTTCCAAACTGCTGCGCCTCTTTATCAGTCCCTTCATCTTGGTCTGATTTCTTTAGAGCAGGTGAGATGATATCTGGTTTCATGTGTTTCCCGTGAAACGCTCACAAGAGACAGGAAGAAAGCAAAGCAGGTCTGTCTTCTACTGAGAATCAATCCTTTGTGCTTGTTTTTTTCTCAGTACTCTAACTGATGAGGGGCAGAGAGGAGGGAGGGAAGGGAAGAACTTGTAAGGGAACAAACATGTTTTTTCCTATAAAGGTGTAAATCATCTGTAGTCATTTTAAAAACAAAACTCTGACAGTCATAGTGCATCACTGAAACAAGGAAAGGTTTTTAATTATCATTGAATTGTCAAAGCTAATAGAAAATATTCCTCTGTTTAGGAATGAGCGTGCACGGTGGATCAGTTCTCTGGGCAAGAATGACAACGATGAAAGACTGCATGACAGAACCAGTAAGCTGCCAGCTCCCTCTCTGAGCTCATTGCTCCACCTTGTGGCATTTTAGTTCAACGCGTTGATCTAATTTTGAAACTGGAGAGGTCTGGAAGTACTTATGGCAATGCTTTGTTTTTCTTTTCCAGATGTTATCCAGGTGGAGGTGATAAGAACTTACACGGCAAAACAACCAGATGAGCTGTCTCTGCAAGTGGCTGATGTGGTGTTGGTTTCCCAACATGTCGACGGTATGTTGTCTCACTTTTCTCACCCCCACCCATTGGCTTAAAGGTTTTTCAATAGATTTAAAAGAAAAAAATACAACCTCACTGAAATGTTTATCTCATTGTTAAGCTTATTTCTAACATAAATTCATAAAACACAAGGTAAAGTTTTTTTTAATGTAATTTTGATAATTAATAATGAAAACGTTGTGTTATAGTACACAGCCACGGAGAAGCCTCTCCATAAATAGGGTGTGACACAAAAGATCGAATGATGTAACTTTGCATATTAACGCAAAGTTTAGTGGAAGAAAAAAGTTTTCTACAAAACCAGAAGCAAAAAAGATAAATGCAACCTAAGGAGAATTGTGAGATGAAGCCTGTTTAATATGCTGTGGTAGATTCCCTCTACTTTAAGGCTTTGATTTTGTATTCCAGAAAAATAGAATTAAATCTGGATAACAGCTGTGTAGACTTTGGAGAAATAACATGAAATGGATCATTTGAAATGGCTCCCCAAAACAGACAATAAAAGCTTTTCATTAGACCTTAACTGTGCCTCTCCCACCTTATACCTTATAGTATGAGATCTTTTTTTTTTTTTTTATCTGAGAAGATTAACTTCTGAGTCTCTGGCGGAGGAGTGTAATGGAACAGTTTTAGTCCAGATACATTTGTGGGGAGTTCACACCTTGTCATACTCACTAAAAATCTAAAATGGTTGCAGCTATTAGTTTTACATGGGCTCCTTTTCCTAGCTATACTTTTTCCTTCTGCTAAACATTCCAGAATTCTGCATTAATCTTTTTGTAAAGCAGTTATATAAAGAAACTTTTATTAAACTATTTCCCTAGACTAATTTCTTTTTTGTTACTTTTATCGGACGTAAGCAATAATCATTACAAATTAAAAATAAAAGCTTAAAGGTGTTTATTGAGTGCAAAAAAATTATATTACAAACAAGTTTACCCTCTTGAATTTAATTACTCTCAGTGATGTTCTAAACCAGTGAGCTACACCTCTATTCCTCCTGTTTTTCACCTTCCTGCCTAAGCATCCTTTCATCATAAACTCATTCATTCTCTTCCTTTTTACCACCTATCTCTTTCATATAATAGAGCTGATGTGTTTGAAGTTTACCCATCTAGTCCAAAGCCTGGAAGTTAATTGCAGTTTTGGTGACCATAGCAACAGGCTTTTCTGTCAAAGAACATACATCATCAAAAAAAATTACACTACCTAAGTGAAGGCATGATGTTGCACACATTTTTAAACAAAGAGCATGTTTTCAACCCCTTAGGATGGTACGAAGGGGAGCGGCTGCGCGATGGAGAGACTGGGTGGTTTCCTGCAGAGTGCGCCGAAAAGATCACGTGTCAGGCCACCATTGAACGGAACATGCAGAGGATGGATCGGCTGCAGGGGCTGGAGACCAACGTGTGATGGAACCATGAACAAGAGGGATGTGTTTTTTCCCCCCATGCTGATAAAGACACTCTGAACTCTTTAAACACTGAATGAACGGCATCGGTTACAGATTTACTATTCAGTAATTACTAAACACTGAGCACCTGTCTGAGTTTTAGACTGTTTAGCATCAACACAGCAGGAAAAAACAGATTCCTTTAATTAGCGATCCCTCCCTGAGTGGGTGGGATGGCCTGACAGTGGGATATGTCACACTGATTAATTCTCTGGCTGGCTGAGAAAAAACTTCCCTCCCACCACAGCCAAAGCATCTGCTTTCAACACCCTACCACATAACAACTGTTGCTGTTAAATTTCTACATTTTTTTCCAACAGATTTTTTTGTACAGTGTAATGAATGCAGTCCTGCTGTGGGAGGTAAAGCAAACCAATTAGAGGGAATTCAACAGCAGCCTTGCCGCGTGTTCAGTTAAAGAGGCTCCGGCCGGATGATAAAAGGCTTCACCACTAACAATGTCGCTATGAGCATAATTCTACAAGCAGGAAATGTGTTTACAGCGTACAAATTCTGCATGGTCTCTACAGCTAAGCAGATTACATTAAAGCCAAGTGTAAACATAGCTGTAAATACTTATAAGTGATTAGAAAATGGTACAAATTACAGCTAGCAGGGAAGAGAGTGATGCATTATGGGGTCCAGGTGAGAAGGGCCAAGTTTCTGCACTTCAAACTTGCTATTTGTCAGTGGGTAATGTCACCCTCATGAATCAGATTGTACATTTATGTATCAAGCACCATTATTTTCCCCATCAATTCTGCAGTTTGGACAGCAAGAAATATAGCAGTTGATGCAAGCCGGAGATGGGAGAGTGTAAATAATTCCATGTATATATCTTTTATAAACGCATGTGACTAAAGAAATGATGTGTGTGCTGTCGGTGGGATCTGACCCCTGCTGGCCCTGCTTTTAATGTGATTGTCCAGTGTGTGAGTCATCGTTTTAGTGTTGCCTGGCTGAAGGAAAAAAAAAATAGCCTGGCCAAAGGATGGCTTTAATGCAATTTATCAAGCCAACAGATCTGCAACCAACGACGATGATAACCACCACCTGAGGTTTTGGGTGCTGTGATGTGCACACACCCATTTGGACATTCGGCTTTATGTTTGCACTCAGGGAAAAATACAACGGATTATTCATGAACTGCTTCAAATATTTCCTTACTTTTGTAACTATTGTAAATAAGCTTTGCATGTGTAAATATGTAATACAATGACACTTGTTTCCATAAATACAGATTTATATAGGAAGAAAGGGAAAAAACAGAATTTTAATTAGTATTTGCTTAATAAAGGTTTTAATTGCACTCTGCTTTGTATTATGAGTGGTTATTTAAAGCAGGTTAGATTAAAGGCAGCCATTCAAGTTGTTCAGTGGTGGAATGTTTTTTATCGCGTCATGTAAAACAAGTGGCACAAGCAAATAATAGATTTATCTAATGAGTTTAGCTATAGTTGAAAGTTAAAACATCATTCTAAATGTGAAATAAAATGAATTATACAAAAAGGAATATATAAAAAGTATTAAAGGTAGATTACAGAAATCTGGCCAGCACTGTTATGGAGACTTTGGAGATGATAGTGATCCAGCAGACGGTCATTAACATCTAAAAAAGCAAAGAAACTAAACTGGCAGTTCTAAGTGCTGTATGCAAACATAAATACAAAGTATAGTGCAAGGATAAAGTGTTTTATAAAAAGGTGCACAAGCAACAGCAATGACTGCTTCCTGAAGAGGATAGTAAAGCAAATGGCATTGATCATTTGTGAGAGATTCAGTGTCTGAGAACCAATTCACACAGACTAATCAAAGAAATTGGCAACAAGCATCAAATTTAACTTTAGCCATTTCCTCAACAAAGAATGTTCAAAGTATTTTGCCTTGGCAGGAGAGATGAAGCATTTGACTGCTGCTCAGGGGCTAAAATCCTCTTTTCCGTTTTATGTGGAAAGCGGGGTGCCAGAGAAGGGAGGAGAGACGACCGGAGACAGTAGATTTTCCAGTTAGTAATGATTTTGGGAGCCATGATTTTTACTGGTATTGGTCCAGTTTCCTCAAGTCCAAAATCTATATAGCAATCTTGAGAGGAATATGTGAGGCATCAGGAAATCACTATTAATGGAACGTGGAGTTTGAAGCTGAAACGTAAGCACATGGAGCCCCAACCAACGATTGAGATTTTTATAAGTCGTATGTATATGTTTAGGATATATAATGTACTGTACAATCTTATGTATATTGTATAGTACATGAAGTTTTTTTTTAACAATAAACCAGGATTATTCAAATGAAAAAAATGTTTATTTTATTCCATAATGTAGAGAGATTTATTTTGAGTTTAACTGCTGATATAATGGGCCTTTTGTAGTTTTCCATCTCACTTTTAACAGGCTTCTGCTTTTCTTACGTCCCTTTTAACTCAACAGTTCCTTTTTAACTGATAAGGCCTTTTTTTTCATAACTGCACATTTTTTTCGTCAGAGATTTCTTTTTCCTTTTTCTGAACAGCTTAGCATTTTAAATTATTTTTTCATTATTGTGCAATAAGCTTTTTCTACTTTCTTTTGCCACGTTCAAACTTCAATTTTCAGGCTGTGGGACAATAATGTAATACTTTTCTATTAACTTTTTATCTTAATCTATGAATATGTACTTTCTGTATTTAATGGACAGTTATTTCGAGTCATAAACTAATAATATCTGGGTAATACTTTTTAAAGGTCAGTCTCATAACGTAAAGGAATCACACTGATTACAAGTAGCTTATTTATTACACAAGCGGTTATGTGGCATTGCTTGGAAACAGGTCAAAACTTCCAAATATAAAATAAACAAATTAAACAAAACGGGAACATAAAGACAGGTTGGTCAATGAGCTATTTAAATGGTTAAAAAGAGAGAGAAAAGCAGGACTCATTCAAAGGAAGAAAATTTTCATTTTCCAGCACTCTACCCTTCTGTTTGGCCTTTAGCAGCATCAAGGGAGCAGTAAAGTTTAAACCGAGTAGAGGCATCAGGGAGGCCAGCTGTCTATCATAAATATTCCAACAAACTCATGTCTGAAGGTGCACTCAATCACCGCAAAGGCTACTTTCTTCATTGCCAGCCGAATCCCTGGCCACTTTTAATCATCGTTGTCGTCGTCATCATCATCGTCCTCATTAAAGTAAACGTGCTTCCCTCTCGGGGCAGACGCCCACATCCTGCCATCGTCCTTGCTGCTGCCTGCAGGCCTTTCTTGGGTGGTGAGGAGATCTATGATTGCTGTGATGACAGCACAGTCTTTGGACTGCCGGTTATTCCAGTCCACAGGAGCCGGGTTGCTGATTTTTTCTTGTAACAGTGAATCCAGCTCTTTCTTCAAACTCTACAGAACAGAACAGAAGCCAATAAAAATTAACTGCAATATTCAGTAATCAGAGCATCTGATGTCCGCTTTGTTTACCTTAACAAGATGGGCAATGCGCGCTGGGGATCTGAAGACAATCCAGCGGTCGACAGCGATGGTTTCGTCGCCCTCTTCTTTCTGGATGCTGATGTCTCCTCCAAAGAACAGCAGGGAGAACGGGGACACTTCAGTGCAGTCGTACAGGAAGATCTGAAAGGAGATGGTGGCATTGCAAACACGCAATTATACCGTTATTACAACACATTACCAGGTTTAGTTACAGAAAGCTGAATCCTTGTGACACGCTGAGTCCGACAGCTACTCTGCGGTGTGGGCTAAGAGTGTCACATTAGTGGAGAAAGGCTGTGCCAGTTGAAAATGTGTTTTGGTGCCTCTGGTGTGAGGAAAAATGTCATACTGCCCCATCTGTGAATCTCCCTAATGTGTTACACTCTTTCAAACCTTCCATTTCATGTTGATTTGACAGCTGCTTATGTAAAGCAGCTCACCCAATGAGACCCAAAATGAAGAAGGAAAGACGGATCACTAAGAGCTACACTTTAAAGGGATGTGTTGACCAACCTTCACTTCAATCCTAAAATTAAGTAAACAAAAGTAAGAAAATAACAACAAAATAAGGGAAAGAATATAGAAACTAAAACTAATTCAATAGATACTTTTCTACAGTAGAACTCCCCCTACAGGACTTTTTGAAAATAGCACTAATCAGTGAATGACCCCGATGTCCTGAAGCATAGAGCAAAAGCATAACATCATTCTCGAAGCAGCTGGAGGATGCATATCACGACAAATTATCTGAAGAGGTGGGCAGTACTGCACAATATCCACCGACATAATGTCAGCTGCTGTACAGCAGCATCTTCACTATAAATCATCTTAATAAGTCTTAATAGAAGTCTGTCTAAGAAGTCAAAGTTATTTGCTGTCAAAAATTTATTCAGTCTCTTAATATTTTATAGCGACACACTAAAAATCGATGATTCTAAAGTCCCGATAGTATTGCAAACAGAGCTTAGGTTAACAATGTCAACACTGAAAGGTCTGCATCCGTTTCTCCTCTTTTCGTTTGAGGCCTGGTCCAGAATACAATTCACTGTTTTTGAGTCTAGTTCGGATCCAATTTATCTTTCCTGTTTGGTTTTCTTTTCCCGTGTTTGTTACCTCTGCCATGTCATAAAACCCATAATGACCTGTGAGTGGTGCAGAGGGGGCTAGCAGTAGCCTCACATTGGGCCGCAGTAAAGTTGTTCATCTTACAGCGAAAACAAGAACAGAGCCGCCACACTGCCACCAGGTTGGTGGCAAAGAGGATTCCAAGTGTGGTTTTCCAACCAGGACCAGCAGGGGGAGATGACGGACCACTCAATCGTCTTATAAACACCTAGATTAGGTCACATGGATTATGTCACATGGACTAATGTGAGGATGTATTAGGGTAAAAATGTGACTTAATGTTAATTTAATATCAAGCTTGTGAAATACCTTCTGCATCCACCATATTCTTTATTGGATAACATATTTAAAAACTGGGTTTTACCACAACTTGCTCATTAACATTTCTCCGCATATCAGTGGTGTAAATTACATGCTTGGATTTATAAAACATTTTGCATTAAAAACAAACGTGTGGTTCTCATTCTTGTTTTTACTACTCTGTAATATTGTTTGCCCCGTCCTCATGCCATAGAAAAATGCTAAAAACCTGGGGTTATGGCTCTTGCCAATCTCTGGCCTGTGCCTCCTATAAACCTGGAATAATTTAGGGCACTATAGTTGAAGAAAACCCCACAGGTCCTTTTAAAAGATGAAGGTTAAACAAGCATATTAAAAATCCAGTGGTGTTAAACCCAAACTGGAAATAAAAGAGTAAAATCCTTGATGGAGATGAGAAATAAGAGAGCTGGCTAACCTGCATTCAGCCCATAAATCTGTGATGTAATAGATCATCAGGGACAAGTGCGTCAGAGGATATCAAGTTTAACGTCATCATCCATTTTCCTCCCTCGTTCTGCTGCTCTACCCCTTCTGCTTCATTCTCTCTCAGTGAGTAAATAACCTTGGATATCTCACACCGTCTGAACGTCTCACTCTATGAACGCAGATGTGCAGCTTTGTGTCAGAGAAAAACAAAAAGATCTAAATGTAGCAGAACTGAAGGTAAAATGCGACAAAGCATGTTTTCTTCATCAGCACTGAGGACGCAATCAAAGCAGCTATGAAGTATCGTTTCTTTTATTTTTTTATGCAGAATTGGGGCACTCGCATAAGGAGACAGAACAAAGACAGATAGACAAAGAGTCTGAGGAGGGATTGATAAAAAAGAAGCTATAGAGTGTTGCAGTCAGGAATCTGTGTTGACCGGTTTGCCACCGCGACCACCTCTTGCATTGTATCTGGAAGCTTTGAAGCCCAAGAGCTTTTGAGAGAGAGTTGAAAGGCGCTGTGTTTAATCAAATATTCATTAAGTGCAAAGCTAGTATGGCACCACTGCCAACCTTTAGCCGCTGGTACTTCTATCCTCTCACAGGTGCTCTTCAGAAGTGGCTGGGCAAAATCCCAAAAGCCATTTTCACACGTGAACAGAAACATTCAGGGGAAAATAAAAAAGCGGTTCACAGTTGCAGATTTTCTGCCACTGATGAGCCCTGGACTGCTTTGAGGTACAGGGAGCAAAGTAGCACAAGTTGCACAGGAGGAGGGACATGACTCACTAAATATAGACAAGTCCGTTTTTTATATACTCAACAGAAATTTATGTGAAATGTCTAAGTAAACAGCTGAAAAAGTCTACTTTCAAACGTCTTCTGCTTTGGATTATGTCTCACATTTAGAAGCTTAAGGTCATCAAACATATTACAATATTAGAATGACCTGAAAAAATAGAGCTTTCAATTTTG